GTAATCTGCAGGGAAGGCACCAGGTGGGACTCCAGTACCCATCTCCCCAGCCTGCATGGGCAGAGACGGGGGGGGCGCTACAATCTCCTACAGGGGAGGCACCGGGTGGCACTCCAGTACCCATGCTCCCCAGCCTGCATGGGCAGAGATGGGGGGCGCTACAATCTCCTGCAGGGGAGGCACCAGGTGGCACTCTAGTGCCCATGCTCCCCAGCCTGCATGGGCAGAGATGGGGGGGCGCTACAATCTCCTGCAGGGGAGGCACCAGGTTGGACTCCAGTGCCCATGCTCCCCAGTCTTCATGGGCAGAGACGGGGGGGGCTGCAATCTCCTGCAGGGGAGGCACCAGGTGAGACTCCAGTGCCCATGCTCCCTAGCCTCCATGGACATAGTGGGGAGGGTCCCATTGGACCCCCAATCCCCAGCAGCCGCACCCTTTGCCTGGGCTGGCTAAGCCTCCTGGGAAATGTAGTCCCGCCCATCTGGACGGGGTGAGAAGGGGGGCTGAGGGAGGGGCTAGCCCTCCCACCCCCCCACCCCCCGAGGGGGCACCAGGCAGACTCGCCCGGCTGAGAGGGCAGGGTGTGCCAGCCGCCTGTTTTCATCACCCGACAAGCCCCTGCTTGCCGAGGGTGTGAGTGTGTGTCTGTGTGTCATTTGTGTGTCTGGAATTTGGGCTTCTCCAAATCCCCGGGAAGGGGGGGGACGATTTTGCTAAGTGAAACATGTCGGCGAGTTTTGCCCCATTTTACGACCTCGTGGCAGTCATTAAGTGACACGGTCGTTAAATGAATCTGGCTTCCCCCCCCCATTGACTTTGCTCGTCCGAAGGTCGCATAAGGGGATCACGTGACTCCCCCCCCCAGGACACGGCCACCGTCACAAGTACGAGTCAGTTGCCAAGCCTCTGAATTTCGAACCCGTGACCCGGGAGATGCAGGAAAGCTCGCGAGGGTGCCAAACGGCCGTACGTCACGTCGCAACTTTGAACCTGTTGTAACTTCAGCGCTGCCTGTATATGGGGGTCTCCCGTTCGAGCAGAGGGCTGGACTAGAAGACCTCCACGGTCCCTTTCCAATTCTGTCATTCTAAGATTCGGGGCCTTTGGCTTGGAATCGGGGCATGTGCAGAGTTCCAGAAGACCACTGGAAGACTGAAAGGGCCCCGGACTTCTGCGTATGCTCTGGTGCTCCTGCGGCGGGGCGCGTGGAGCACTGCGCATGGCGCACTGCCAGCCTTATCGCTTACGCGGCTGTTTTTATCGCTCCTGGCAGCAGCCCTGCTTTTTGCGCAGACACTCGCCCGCCTAAGGCGTGGCCATGCGGTGCAGTGGTTAGAGCAGGGCTCTTCAAACTGCGCCCTTTGATGACTGGGTGGACTTCAACTCCCAGAATTCCTCAGCCAGACACACCGGCTGAGGAATTCTGGGAGTTGAAGTCCACAAGTCATTTGAAAGGGCCAAGTTTGAAGACCCCTGCTTGTGGACTTCAACTCCCAGAATTCCTCAACTAGGCACGCCTGGCTGAGGAATTCTGGGAGTTGAAGTCCACAAGTCATAAAAGGGCCATAGTTCCCTCACGCTGGCTGAGGAATTCTGGGAGTTGAAGTCCACGAGTCATAAAAGGGTCATAGTTCCCTCACACTGTCTGAGGAATTCTGGGAGTTGGTCCACGAGTCATCAAAGGGTCCTAGTTCCCTCACGCTGGCTGAGGAATTCTGGGAGTTGAAGTCCACGAGTCATAAAAGGGCCATAGTTCCCTCACGCTGGCTGAGGAATTCTGGGAGTTGAAGTCCACGAGTCATCAAAGGGCCATAGTTCCC